CAGGAAAAAAAGTTGGTCCTTTCACCAAAATTAACTGAGGTTTCACCTAACTCGTGCATATGGAATCAAACGACTTTACAATACTTACTTTACATACTTATACACATAATGCACACACATACACAATTACCATTCAAAAAGAAATGAGATACTGGTTCCCAGCCCTACAGCTGCATAGAGCGAGATCTGTCTCATTTGTTCCTCTGGCAACAGATTAAAAACACTAAAACCAAGATCATGCATAGAAGTGTCAAAGTATCTTCCTCTGAGTACTTCAAACCTCCCAGCTCTCTTCAGAATTGTTTTTACGGCTGAGCCTTTGTAAGTAAGTGCTTTTTAACTGATGTTCAAAAAAATCCCAACCAACAACAACGAAAAAACCCACAACACAAAACAAAAAAACCCACAGAAGACACCAAACCAAGTAAAACAACCCCTGAGACTCACAGAGTTCCAACTACACAGTGCGAAGACACAACCTACCTGCTTCTGTGATGCTGGTAACTCCTTCCAAGCACCTGCCATTTTTTTAACCAGATCCATGTTGCTGATTTCTGTGTAATAAAATTAGAAAGCAAGAAAATAAAGATCAATATTGTATTTTTAGTAAGCTCCTTCAATTTTTTCCCAAGGAAAGCTGTCACTAGTTATCTTTTTCGAGTACAAATATATTTTCCTCCTTTCATAAAACTAACTTATCACTGCAGTTAAAGGGAACTGTAATATTTTGGGGGGAAGAGTCCTTGCTCTTGGTTCAAACTTCAATGAAACATGCAGTAATAAAATGAAGCACCATTTCCAGACACATAGCTATTACAACCCCATAACAGTTTCTTTTTTTTTTTTTCTTTTGAGTTGGATCCTTTTCTGTATGATGCAAGATGGTCTGGACTCGGAGGGGGGCCGAAAGGAGGGAGGAATCCAAACGTATAATTTCCAGTTCTCAATTTTTTGGCAAGAAGAGTCTGATGGATTCTTCAAAGCAAGTATAATGTGACCTTATCCACCTGATAGAGAACATAAGCTTGATCTTTATTAAAATAAAGTCCTTCATTTACAATGTTATTCAATGAAAGTAAAGCAATTTTCTTCTCCCACAAACAAAATTACAGTGACTTGAATCTGCTTTGGTTTTCAGCTGGCTGCCTCTGGCCCTTGCACTGCAGTCTTTTGATGAGGCTTCCAGCCAGACCTGAATTTGAGAAGGGAAAAACCCTCTACAGGCTTTCTCTCTGCTTCACACTAGAAGAAAAAACAGATCTTCCTCTCTCCCACCCCAAATGGAACGCTCATCCATCTCAAAAGCAGAAAAGCAGAACTAAGCTCTTATCGGTAACCTGACTTCCAGAACTCTGGAAAACAGATGGGGAGTATTTAGTCCAAGCATACCAATCTTAAAACCTCTGAAAATACAATGCTTTGCCAATGATAAAATAAAACAAGTAACAACTAAAAGCTCTGCAAGTTCAATCCTCAACCTTTCAGACTGTTGAACTCTTAACTACCGAGCAAAATGGCGTATCAAATGGTTTGCCCTGCTTAAACTTACTGCATGACTTACGCAATAATGACCATAGTTCTTTAAAAATTTTAATGTGGAACAGTATTTTCGAAATCGGCGCAGCTTTCCATTTTGCTGCTCCCTGACAAGAAGAGCGACTGCATATAAATGAAGTTTTTTATAATAAATTAAGCCTATTCCCAGAAAACCATTTTCCTCCAAATACCTTTACTTCTTCTCCCATATACATCGAGGCAATCCACGCCACGTAGTTTTTAAATTACTAAGCATCACAATAAAATCACATACAGCTCATTGTATCAACAATAGTCTACTTCAAATACACACAGATTTCGAAATAACTGAAAGACACAAACCACTGCTAGCGAGCATTGCCCCAGCGAGCTCTTCCTTCACACATTTTTAAAGTTACACACAGCTGTTCCCTTTTTGAGTTACTAAGCACAGAAAACGAAGCTAATAAGTGCCCAGGCAGCAAGCACAGCAATGCTGAAATTACTGGTGGTACGCTACAGATAAAAAGATGGGTTTAGTCTCCTGAATCACAGAATCACAGAATGTCAGGGATTGGAAGGGACCTCAAAGGATCATCTAGTCCAACCCCCCTGCCGAAGCAGGACCACCTAGATCACATCACACGAGAATGCGTCCAGGCGGGTTCGGAACATCTCCAGAGGAGACTCCACAGCCTCTCTGGGCAGCCTGTTCCAGTGTTCTGGTACCCTTACCGGGAAGAAGTTCTTCCTCATGTTTAAGCGGAACTTCCTATGTTCCAGCTTATATCCATTTCCCCTTGTCCTGTCATTGGAAGCCACTGAGAAGAGCCTGGCTCCATCCTCATGACAGTCACCCTTTCCATATTTATAAACATTAATGAGGTCCCCCCTCAGTCTCCTCTTCTCCAAGCTAAAGAGACCCAGCTCCCTCAGCCTTTCCTCAGAAAGGAGATGCTCCACTCCCTTTGAGGCCCTGCGCTGGACTCTCTCCAGCAGTTCCTTGTCCTTCTTGAGCTGAGGGGCCCAGAACTGGACACAATCGCTCTGAAACCAGCGTAATGCGTTTTAGCTACTTCAGGAAGTTCAGTTTTACAAAGCAACACCTTGCTCCGTTTTTCTGCCTAAATGGCACATTCTGGAAGGAAAAAACGGTACGTAGCGGGAGTGACGGCAGGTTTAACGCACCACCTCCGGCACCCTGCGCACTCGGTATTCCCACAGCGCGAACAACGCTGACCACGGGCCCTCCCGCGCCTGACTCCCCTCGGACCTCATACCTGGATTATTCTGCCTAAAAGCAGGACGGTATTCCTTCAGGAAGCGGAAATAGGCCGTCAGCGGCCGCTTCGGGCGCTCCTCCGAGCTGATCCCCCTGG